TGGTGAACTGTACAACTTGGTCTGCAAGAAAGAAGGGTATGGCTTGTTGTCTCCCTGGCTTGTCCCTAGCCAGCAGTTCCATCACATCCCTGGATAGCTGTACAAATCCCCACCCTTAACGTCAAACTTTTTAAAGTGTTCCTCAAAGTATCACTGTATGGAGATAGCAAAAGCAGCATGATGGAGCCACCCACAAACAAGGGAGCGGTCTTTGTATGTTCAGTGGACTTCCCAAGTATGTAGAAAAATGGGGAAAATTAAATAGGGGGTATCTTAAAAAGCTAGTATGAAAATGCTCTAGAAGGAACAGAATGTTGTGATAAGCCAAGTGACAGTTGAAGAAAGAGAAATCAGCTTGCTCACGTCCAGGAAAGCTTAGGTAGTGTTGGAGGGAGAGATCTGAACTTCTTACTTTTAAAACATTGGCACAATTCATTGTAGAGAATTGGCACCATTTCTATTTCTGCCATTAGGAGATACTCCTATAAGTTGTGTCATGACAAGAATACCAGGCAAGGTATATCCTGGCGTCGCTAGAAAGTTGTAGATCTCCTTGATCCTTGGGGTGAGAAGGAAATTCAGCAGCTTTGAAACAGTCACCTTAATATGGATTCTTTTCACTATATCTCTAAGGAAATGTCTGCCCACGGTCATATGAGGAGTAGTACAGAGTGTCACATCAAGGATAAGGTGTTGCATTTGAAGCACAATAGCTGCAAATATATGCCTAACTTGTAGAACCTTGGTGAAATCCATGATAACACCACGTCGTTTTGATAGAGGAGCGGGGAAGCAGAGGGAACTAGGAAAGTCATGATATGCTGTCATGATTTAATAGTGTTGATTGACTCAAACTGGAAAGAAAAGGGATGTCTATCTCTGCAAGGATCAGTGAACAGCAAGGAAAGTGGATTTATGATGATAATATAACAAAACTCCCTCTGTGGATGGGAAAGTTTATGAGATATATCCTTTCAATGGCATCAATATCCACCATCGTGTGGGTCCTCCATGGTAATTCCGTCTGCAGCCAACACTGAAATAGCAGCGATTTGCTCACCAGGAATAGCCCAAGTGTGAAGCCACCCTCAATATTCTCCAGAAGAATAGGATGTTTAGAACAGATGAGAGTGTGTTAAAAAGAAGAGGGGTGGGAGGAGAAATCCAATCCTGAAAGCTTCGAGAATTCAGGAGGGGCAGATGGTAGGGGGAGGTAGAGGGAGTGTCCGAATTGTCATTCCCTCTCCTTGTGATTCCGTGCAGGGCCCCCCCCCCATTTATAGCTAGCTAATTCCAGCTGTAACATCGCTGTTGTTTATGCTGTAGTGTGCTTTTAAGAAAAACAAATTGTTTTTATTAGATAAGTTGTAAAAACATCTAAAAGGTTTAAACGGGCTACATTTCAAATCCAAAGGGCTAAAGGTATCTTAAAACTGAAACCCACAGGATATGAATGTGCTTCTGTTTTGCCTTTCCTGCTGGCCCATCTGTTCCTGTTCATCTGATCGCTTTATAGAAAGGCCCCATGTATGTCCATAGGAAGCTTGTACCATCATTGGTCCATCTAGCTCAGTATTATCTCTGTCTGGATATGGCTCCCCCAGGGTCTCAGGCAGAGTAAGCTCTTACCCAATTCTTATTACCTGAGAGGCTCTTAACCTGAGATTTCTCAGGCTGAACTGCCTGCTAAGTATGTGGTCTGTTTGAGCTGTGATCCCTTCCTATGCAATTAAACCTTTTAGGTATTTTTTCTAGTTACTTAACAATGCCAGTTTTGGCTTCAATCAAATTGCATTAGGGCTGGTTAGTTGAGCTTCTCAGACAGGTGACCTGTAATTTAAGGAGCAAATTGAAACAAATATTCCATTGCAAGAGATCGTGATGATATTCTTATCAAGAAATTCATTTGTCCTATCAGTTTGGTTCTGATTAGGTAGTTGTCTGATACCTGTGCAACTGCTTGCCAAAAGCTATGAGAAGGCCAGAGCCAGATCTCTTGAGAGATCTCAAAACTTAACACCTTTTTCAAGATTTCAGAGACTTCAGTCATAAATTCTGTATTTTTTGATTCCAGGCCAAATCCTGAAAAAGAATTATCGTTATAACCTTCAAGTTCAGCTAGTTAGAAGTTATCTCAAGTTTTCAACAACATTTAAACTTTTCCTTATCAAGACTAGTTTTGTCCTTTCTGATTCCCTGTTAGCTTATGAAGTCGGTTTGTGTGTCCCAATTATTCAAGGGGCACAACGTCAACAGTGTTGGTTTATTGGTGCCTTTTTCTCCCTCCTCCTCCCATGTGGAACACCTTGGCAATTTTAAATGCATGCGCGCATGCACATTCTGTTGCCATGTCCAGTGGCAAGTTATTATGGGGACTGACAGACTGTCATCGTTTTGATAGCTTGAGCAGTATATCTCTTGAACAGCAATAGAGCTCTTATGCAGAAAGTATCATATGTTCCAAGCCAATTTACAGGGAAACAGCAATAACATTTTATCATGGTTGAGAGCCCAGTAGCTGCTTCCTATTAAACTTGCCCTTTCAGATACCTGTCTTGGATTAATTTGTTGATTTCAAATGGAAACTCAGTCTTCTCCACTGAAGCATGACTTTCTAGGATAGACTCTTACTGAATGACAATTACTGTATATTCTACCCGCTTTCAGACCATTACAAGCTTTGGGCACAGTGGAAGACAGAGGACTTCTTCAGTAACTGATTTTAATACATGTCTAATTTTAGCTGTCAGTTATCTATGCACCAGTAGATGAATCCTCAGGAAGATGAAATGCAAAACACCTCTAACTTGCTCTTTTTAATGATATACTTGCTGCAAGGGATAAAAAGAGAAGGATTGGGAAGAGGGAGTCTCTAGTCTCTTGAAGAAAACTGCATAGTGTATAAGAGCGCATAGTTTTGAAAACTGAATTACGTCAACATTTTGTTTCAAAATCCAGATCTGAAAATTGAGTGTACCTACAATATCTTTGAATTTGAAGTATAGTTTATATTGCAGGCATTTCATGGGAATCCTGCCATGATAGTTGGTCAGAGCTGGATTGCAAATCAGTGATAAGGGGAATTTTGTTTTTGTCCAGTTTTGATCTGTAGAATAAGCTTTGCTGGAAGTTAGCAGAAGCATCAGATGAGCAATATAGCAGAAGGAAGGTTTGCTCTGGAGGACAGTGTAATGATAACATCTACATGTACTGACTTTCCTAGCAAGACGTGTGAACTCTTTAGGGTACACTTTATGATGAGAGGGGCTGTAGCTCAGTGGTAGAGCATCTGCTTGGCACACAGAAGGTCCCAGGTTCAATACCTAGCATCTCCACTTTAAAGTATGAGGCAATAGGTGATGTGAAATGGAGAGCTGCTGCCAGTCTGAGTAGTCAGTACTGACTTTGGTGGACTACTGATCTGATTCAGTTCATGTCTCCATGATTTTCATTGTAGTGTTAAACATCCCCATATATGGTACATCAAATTATCAACAACTATGGCTATTTTTCTTCGTGAATCACTTGAAAAATAAATCAGAAAGTGTATATATTTTGTTTTAAAACCCAAATGTTTCTCCTTTGAGAAGAAAGACAGAAAGGTAACTTCCAGTTAATAGTGGCTCAGTCCTATGATTGGAGGCTAGCCTGAAAAGAGTAAGTCAGGTAACAAGCTACAGTATTTTTAAAAAATTAAGTATGATGATAAAATATTGGGAAAGAATAGTTGCGCATCAGAGATGGCATGGTTATAGTGTAAAAGAGGTACTCACTGCTAAGAGTGCCAGTGACACTAGGTCCTAGAATTATTTCAGAATGCTTCCTTTTTTTGTGATTTTACATAGCATGCTAAATACATTACTACATGTTCCACCGCTTGCAATAGCAAGGAAAATACTGCTTTTATTGCAAGCAATATATTGGCCTAGTAAGTCTTTTAAAACTAAATGTTGCTTGCATGAGAAGTTCTTCTCAGAAAGTGAAAAACACTCTGGACTCCGTGTTGTGTGTTATAAAAATAGTCCCTGCTCCTTTTCCCCTCATTAGCGTGTTGTATTATGACTACAATAAATGCGGGTCCTTTGCTTTTCTAAGGCTTTATTTTTCATCCCTTGTTATGCAAATATTTGTACAGCAGGGTTTACTAGTTTTAAATGTGAAGCCAACTTCTAAAAGTTGCTGCTTCTGATTACAGTTGCCAATATAATTGCTATAAAATGGCACTTTGCAACTCGTTAGCAACAACCGCAGGATCCTACCAGCTTCAAAAGCCTATAGTATTAAAATATTTTTGCTACGTTTCTTTCTTCTTTTACAGTCTACCCTCAACTGAACAGTGGTTTGTGCCATCCATTCACTGATGGCAATAGAACAAATGATGTTTCTGCTTCGACAAGCTTTGTTTTATCAGGATCAGTAACCTTCTCAGCAATTGACCCAGAACTATCATGCATGTCTCTGAATACAGAGAGAGCATATGTCACAGTGTTGTGCAGACTTCCCTCTAGAGCAGAAGAATAAAAAAATAGATTTAATTTTAAAAAAGAAAGTTTGTAATAGTAAAATGACCTGTGAGGAGAAGATGTGTTAAGATTAGTATTCCTGCTGTGGAGTTTGCCTTCATCCTTTTGATTTGAAAATAGGGTTTTCTGTATTAAAATGGTTCCGCCAATTTCCAAGATGACTTGAATTTTAAGTGTGTGTGTGTGTGTGTGTGTGTGTGTTTAGAAGCTCTGAAAGGATACATGCACCCGCATTCTGAAGAGCTTCCTACTTTCCATGCAGATTGCTTGGTAAAACTAGAAACACAAAAAGTGTACAAGGATTGATGGCCTTTAATTTAAGGAAGACTCTTCCTTCTTTCCCCCACCCCAATATCCATGCTGTGGATCATTTTTCAATCCTTAAAATAAAGGTAGAGAGATGACAACATATAAAAATAAGTCACCCATGACGAGCACATTTTGACATGAACACTTCTCTTCTTTGACCTTTGGCAGGTTAGGTCTTGACCCAAAGCTACTGGCCAAAATCCTAAATATGAGCTCAGGCCGTTGTTGGTCAAGCGATACATACAACCCTGTGCCGGGAGTAATGGAAGGCGTACCTTCTGCTAACAATTACCAAGGTGGCTTTGGAACAACACTCATGGCCAAGGTATGTATACATAATTATATAATTATAAATGTTCCTGTACAGAAATATTGCTTATTTTTGATAGGCAGAATAAATGAGAAGTATATTCTGTGATATTTTCCTCCTGGACTGTTCTAACAGTGCCTCAGGCTTTTGGTGTACCAAATTTTCTCTTGGTAGGGAAGAAAACATGGAATTGGTTAGCAATATTGATAATTATATGAATAGTTATTTAGATTGCAGCTAATCCCCATCCTGAGGATTTAAAGCAATTCATTGAAAATCTTCCATAAAAGCACCAGTTACAAATACAATGAAACATGTAAAATTTTAAAATTGTTAACTTTTATTTCTTCTTCCATCCCAATTTCAGGGGGGGAAATAGCTAACTAATATATCGAAATCTCAGATCCAGAAAGTTGGCAATCCACAAGTTCTGTTTTAAAAAGCTACCTCTTTGTTTTTAGTTTATTGAGGCTCCTCACATGTTCCATTTGAAGCACTCTTCTGAGGATTCATGATGACAGTATTGTTCAGGAACCCCCTTTTTACATTTTCCCCATTTTTGAACTGTAGGCATTTTATAGAATATATTTTAGATATGTGTGTCATTTCAACCCTGTAACGCCTTGGGTCCCACATAGAATTTGTCACTCTCTTGCTGTAGTGTGTTGCCCAAAGTCAGAAGTGCAGGTTCTGAGCAACACTTGGATGAAAATCTGAGGGCAGGTAGATTAAGCAGATAGCTAATGGGCCCCTGCCTAAAGGAAGGTTAGACACAGAAAAGTCTTTAGTTGAGGGTGGGGAGAGCTCTTACTAGAGTTGTTCCCAAACACGGGCTGAAAAATCACAAACTTGAAGCTGCTTCTCTTTCTGCCTTCCTTCAGTGTTATATTGATTATCCGAGCCAGTTTTTCCAGACAAGCTTTCACTAGGCAAGATGGGCATGAGTCCAGCTAGTGATGGGCTGTCTTCATACCACAAAGAATGATCTGTGTTTTAAGGGGACCAAATGGAACCAAAGAAACCAAAATACAACGAACATCACAACTCTTCTCAGTATTGTTGTTTGTCAGTCCTCTTTCCTGAATTAAACCCACATATGGTGTGTGTATGATAGATAGATAATAAAAGTGCCCACATTTTCTCTCACAAATGTGTGTACATTTTTTATCCAGGTGTCTTTCCATATATATTTTGCCATATGTCTCGCTGAATGAGAAGTAGCAGGGAGGAAAACCCTGGCAAACCACAAGAGGTGTTACTCTATCCCCGATCCCCTCATTGGAGCCATGTATACTTTCTCTACTGCACTTCAGAAGACTGAAGTTGGTTACTTATTTGCACTTCCTTATTTGTTCCTTATTCGTTACTTATTCGTGTAGTCATTCAGAAACACTAAGGAGAGTGAATTGGAAAGCTCTGAACCCCAAAATAAGGTCTGGACCACCACATATCATATACCCCCACATTCACAGGACTCTCCCTTTTGAGGGGACATATGCTGTATCCTGGTCCAAAGCATAGTTCTGGTGCCAGCTGTTCCAATGTGTAGTGCCCCTAGGACAATCACACAAGCAGACACTGGGGCCAGGCTGCACCCCAAAATAATCTTTGGACCACCCCAAAGGACCCATCCCCATGCTCTGGAAACTGTGCCCTGCAAGGTGACATAAAGTGATGCCCGGTCCAAATACTGGTTCTGATGTCACGAGCTTCTATTCGCAGGGCTTCCCCGAGGCCTGTATTTCAAAGGAGATTTGAATAAGGAAGTGCCCCCTGCACCAAAAATAAGGTTTGGACCCACACACTTCATACACCCCCATCTTCAGCAGACCCTCCCCTTTGAGGGAACACATTCTGTGAGGAGGCTGAAGTTGGTTCCTTATTCGCATTTCCTTATTCATTCCTTATTTGTTACTTATTCGTGCAGTCATTCAGAAGCACTAGGGACAGTGAGTTGGAAAGCTCTGAACCCCAAAATAAGGTATGGACCACCACGTATCATATACCCCCACATTCACAGGACTCTCCCCTTCGAGGGGACATATCCTGTATCCTGCTCCAAAGCACGGTTCTAGTGCCAGCTGCTCCAAAGTGCAGTGCCCCTAGGACAGTCACACAGGCAGACACAGGTGCCCACAGGCAGACACTGGAGCCAGGCCGCACCCCAAAATAGTCTTTGGAACACCCCAAATGACACATCCCCACACTCTGGGGACTGGGCCCTGCAAGCTGACATACAGTGGCGGCCGGTCCAGACACTGGTTCTGACGCCACGAGCTTCAGTGCGCAGGGGATCCCGGAGGCCTGTATTTCAAAGGACATTTGAATAAGGAAGTGCCCCCTGCACACAAATTGAGGTTTGTACCCCCACACCTCATACACCCCCGTCTTCAGCGGACCCTCCCCTTCGTGGGGACACATTCTGTGTGCTGGCCCAAAGCACTGTTCTGGTGCCAGCTGCTCCAAAGTGCAGTGCCCCTAGGACAGTCACACAGGCAGACACAGGTGCCCACAGGCAGACACTGGAGCCAGGCCGCACCCCAAAATAGTCTTTGGAACACCCCAAATGACACATCCCCACACTCTGGGGACTGGGCCCTGCAAGCTGACATACAGTGGCGGCCGGTCCAGACACTGGTTCTGACGCCACGAGCTTCAGTGCGCAGGGGATCCCGGAGGCCTGTATTTCAAAGGACATTTGAATAAGGAAGTGCCCCCTGAACACAAATTGAGGTTTGTATCCCCACACTTCATACACCCCTGTCTTTAGTGGACCCTCCCCTTCGTGGGGACGCATTCTGTGTGCTGGTCCAAAGCACTGTTCTGGTGCCAGCTGCTCCAAAGTGCAGTGCCCCTGGGACAGTCACACAGGCAGACACAGGTGCCCACAGGCAGACACTGGACCCAGGCCGCACCCCAAAATAGTCTTTGGAACACCCCAAATGACACATCCCCACACTCTGGGGACTGGGCCCTGCAAGCTGACATACAGTGGCGGCCGGTCCAGACACTGGTTCTGACGCCACGAGCTTCAGTGCGCAGGGGATCCCGGAGGCCTGTATTTCAAAGGACATTTGAATAAGGAAGTGCCCCCTGAACACAAATTGAGGTTTGTACCCCCACACCTCATACACCCCCGTCTTCAGCGGACCCTCCCCTTCCTGGGGACGCATTCTGTGTCCTGGTCCAAAGCACTGTTCTGCTCCAGGTGCTCCAAAGTGCAGTGCCCCTAGGAC